CCCCTTTGATAGAGGTATCCAACCAGCGAAGGAAAATACTCCTCCGAGTTTACCGGGATAGAGGATCCTGAGGGAGATGAATGGAAGAGGGAAGAGGTGAGTCTACAAGTAACTCACACAGTCTGTATAGCAATAGCGGCGCCACTATAAACTCCAACAAGGAAGATAGACTGTAAAGGTATGCGGTTGGCTATCCTATTGATATGCCCAGTGATGTACGCCAGGGAGTTTATCAACTGTTGGTCGGTGGGGTTTGTATAGCCGGGCTGGCCGGGGTAATGAGGGCTTGGGGTAATAGTAAACCTGAGGGAACATCGCTACCCTCCTTACACTATTCACGTCAATGCACCATTGTGTTTGGGGATGTGGGGGGACTAAAATCTCGAACTCTATCTTGGGACATGTAGCCCTCACCGCACGAGCCTTCATGACATCCTTTTGCCCAGCCTGAGAATCGCGAGAAGTCTCCACCCCTAAAGCCATTCTATGGTCGACTCACTAAATATTTGAAGAATGCATGCTTATGCTTCTTGAAAAGAGCTGAATCACTCGAGCTGTTTCTATCTTGCATATAGAAAACATGACACCCGGGAGGTTCTCCGTACACACTGTCCAACACAGCCATGAGGACGGCCATTGCTCTGCAGACAGTAAAGGAAGTCATAGGGACTTATCAACTGATCAAAAAAGCACCTCTTTCTATACAACAGTGCTATGTCCGCTTAATAAGCATGAATCCGAGATGGTCACCAACTGCTTCAAACCCTTCACACTTCTCCCGCTAATAGAAGGATGTGTTGAGGCAACCCTAACTCCTAAGAGACTGACGACATTCTTGGAATGGAAATTTGTTGCCCGACAAGAAGTCCAGGTCCGCTCGCCTGGAAACGATCCCAGTTCGGGCGAACAAAGGCTGATACATGTTGTTTCTCTGAGACTGAGAGAGCCCCAAGCAGTCTACCACCGTTCATCCAAGTAGTAAAACTCACAACGAGGAGAATTGCCCGACTTGTGTTTTCAACCAATTGCATCGACTTCCCACGTCCACGAAGACGCAAGCGACGAACATGCGAGACTTTCCAGTGAAAGACTCTCATTCACGGTAGAGGGAGAGAATCAACTCCGGCTCGAACCTCTCATAAGCAGAGCATTGCGATGAGAATGCACTGCACAACTGCCAGGAGACACACTACACCCCTCCCGTAAGTTGACCCCACCTTTCCCATTGTGAAGTGCACAACAGGTTCATCAACAATGTGACGAGACATGCCACTACAAAGCATAGATGATCAATTCCATGATAGATAAGTCAATTTTATAGCATCGTCTTGCCTGTAAATGTGATACGAACATCAAACGACAGTGTGAAAAGAGAGATAATAGATGCAGAGGACTGCCTTACTTCTCGAGGCCCATCAGCCTAACTTCGAGTAGAAGCCGCTAGCTCCCGACCGGCGGCGGCGGTGCCAGCGACGATGACGACCCCGTCGCTCAGATAGTGCTCTCAGTGGCGCTACTGCACACCTCATCGCTCATCTTCAACGTGAGTCTTATAGAATTAAACAAACCCACGACAGCACAGCACGGGGTGCGTTGAAGCTTTACACTTGGAGGCCTTCGATCGATAGTGCAAGACTCAGTGCCAAGTCGTAGCCAAGACTACTACGGATAATCGGCGAACTCATAACAGATATCGACTTGCATACACTTGCGAGTTATGAGACATCGTAACTACTTACCTTGTGAATGGCCATAGCCCAGAACAGCTTAGACATAGGGGCCTACTTTCCCTTCTATTTTCTATTCTTCGTTTTTAACTCGAAATTTTCAAAGCCGATAATTTCCTCGGCGACCCATCCGTTGTTCCCTTACGACTTGATCAAAGACGGGAGATATGTGTGGCTTAGTTTAGCTCCGCCCCTGCGAGGAATCACTGATTCAACGCGACCCCGCTGCGACTATTGGGAAAGTGGTGCTATTCAAGTCGTTGAATTTGGCATGCTGATAGGAGTATCTCATCTCTTGCCGTACATTGCCCGGTACTTCTCCCTCACGGTCACCAAGAAGCCTCCAAGACTCGTGCATGGCGGCATACGGCAGTTGAGATTCGCAACAAGCTTGTCGAGCAGCGTGACCTAAGGTGAAGAGACATTCCATGACTCACTCCGAGCTCATCCACACCCGAGGCATGCAACTGGATACGAAATACTTCTGAGTCTTCTCATCTCGGGCGAGTACGAACACCAGGGAGTCGTCGCAGCCCTCCACATTGTCCAACCGCACTCTCACCACTGATGGTCCAATGAACTACCAATAATACACTGAATACCATTCTATCGGTTGTTGCACTGAAAAGCTCGTATAATTTATTCTACCATCACAGACCGAAGTAATCGACAAACACAGGTAGTGTCAGGCTAGATCTCACTCGTTATATGAGACGCTTCGACCATATTAAAATGATGGAAAACACATCTTTTTACTCCGCCAAAGACTGTATGGAGTTTCGCAGTATTCAAAGGTAGAACTCCCAAGCATGAGTGAAGCACACAAGCAACCAGAACAGTTACTTCAAGAGACAAGCCGAAGGCATCCTTGAACGCTTGGCATTTAGTCTCGAGAGACTCAGTGCTCTGATGACAGGGCGGATGAGCAGACGCTGATGACGAGCTGAAGTTATCCGCGCCGCTTTCCTTCCTGGAAGAATAAACTACTTGAAATACATCCATAAGCCTTTCACTTGGCTGTATCTTCTAAGGAGAGTTCTTCATTGTGCGTTGTGTTCCACAGGTTGACTTGGTTCTCTTTGGCATCGGCCAAGGTTTCCTCGAGCTCCTTCTGACGGGACTTCACAGTTTCCGCGAGTTCGTCACATTCCTGACCACAACAGCATCAACAGAAGCGTAAATGTAATATATATTGCACTAGCTATATGAACGGGCAACCTCCACAAATGCACCTGAATATTCGCCAATACCAATGCCGACCTACACGGCACTTTTCTAGATAAGTAACTGTCTCAAGATGAGCTACTTCATCCCGGAGACTTCTGATTCGCTGTAATGCTCTCGAATAGGACACCTAGCACGTGAATGATCGCATGAGAAGTGCTAGTAGATACCTCAACACTGGCGCATGGCTGAACTGCCACCTTGATGAGGTCCTCAACCTGGTCTACGACTGTCGAGAGTTCATCCATTATTAATGCAACGTGAACTACATTACTTCGCTCAAAATTCTCAAACGCGTTCCCATCGTAAGGGTGACGATTGCAATGGTCTTGATTGTCACGATGGGGATCTATACAGCGCTATGCCTCATAGTCCGTATAACAAAGAACGTCTGTCAATCAACCCGACTCTCAAAGTAATAGAGAGTGTACTCCTAGACGCGCGGTAGAGGAAAATTCATGGTCTTAGACTTGAGTCGAAATGAGTGAGAAATTCAAGTTTCAAGAAAACTCCAATATCTGACCGACCAGATCCTCTTGATTAACAAACTTGAGTCATCACGACTAAACTTGATGAAGCCTCGAGTCATAAGTCCATCACTCTACTGTCTCTGAGACAGTGTCTCGGACACTGGAGAATTGATGTGAAATAATCTACAATAGAACGCGACTGAATCTATGATAATTTGTAGTAAGGTAGTTACCCCAATGAAAACAATAACCTCACAACTCCCCCCAGAAACGAGGATGCACATATCCTAGCATCTCTCCGATACATACGAAACAACAAGTAAAAATACTTCTCCAGCACCTCAGCCCTATATCCGATCTGAGCATATGCAAAAGTTATTAGGACTGACGATTTTTATAGAGCCTCTCCTCAGAAGTCCTCAGGAGTCCAGCGGCAAGCTGTCAAAACTATACAACTATGGACGGATGACTTAAAGTCAACTCCATGTAAGATTTCCAACACCTTCCCATTTTAATTCCACAGTCTTCTTCCAATCGGTCGAGCATCTCAAGAGTTCTACCCTATCGTTGTAATAGGAATTGCAAGGTTCGTGTACGAGTCTCGACACGAACACGGACTTCGACAGATAAAGTGTGATAGACTCCCAGGCAGTACGACCCCGCAATAGGGCCCGCCTAATATGCTCCAACAACGAGTCCGAGGCACATTCTGTTCAACAGGGTTACTGACCATCGTCGCCAATGCTCTGTTCTCCTACTCAAAGACTAGAGTCGAATGTGACAGCCAGGAAGAGGTGACTACATACAGATGAGTTGATAGCAATACATAAGCAACGACACGAGGCTATGTGGCTATCACTAATGATTGCGCTCCAATCCAGTGCCTCCCTTTCCCCTCATCAGCTCATCGTGCAATCCAGCTCAAACGGATCAGATTAACAACCCCCAAACTTAACAATCAAATGTCTCGTCCGTTGAGTCCTATTGTTGGCTCCTTATTATCAATGCCACGCTTCCTTTAACACTGAACACAATAGCACCATAGAGCCTTTACCATATAGAGAACAGTATATTGTTACTACTAGTATTATAACTATCTCTGAAACTTCCCATCAACAACAGTAGCAATACGTGCTGTTGTTGAGGTGTCCATCGAGTCAACTACCGGCAGCCGCTCAAGCAGTGGTAGGAGCTCCACCAGCCGCTCCTGCATCCTCTGGTTGCGGTACCATATGCATCATAAAGCCAAATCGATAATCTCCCTTCACAAAATCTACCATACCGCTGATGCCAAAGCCCATGAAGTCCTGGACAAAGCACGAGACCTTTCCACAGGTGTCCAACAACCCCTGAACCCTAGCGTGACGGAAAGTATACTCATAGCCCAGACGCAGCTGACTCTCGTGCTCCGGTTGACTATACTCGAACTCACTACCAATCGCCAGCCTGTCAGATACCTTACGAACATACTGCATCTTAGCAGAATGTACATTAGCCTGCGGGCCCTGTTTGAAATCAGGTTGTCGGCCCAAGGCAAAGCTCAAGTAGTTAGGGCCCCACACATAACGAGCACCCAAGCCTCCAATAGACACACCATTCACCGCGACATGAGTCAGCTCTCCACCCAACGAGAGGTTATTGGTGACCTCTTGGGCAAAGCTGACGTTGGATATCCAGGTCCCCTGATAGGCCAGCTTAGCACTAGCTGCCCAATCATCCCCTTGCTGATCCACAGTGAACTCATACATGTTCCTCTGAGGGTCATGAAGATTCGAGTTGGCGTTGATCTTCAAATCAGTGCCCTTGAAAAGTTTCTTCATCAGCCGAGCGTTAACACCGCCATCCATTCCCAGCCTGCCCACCATAACCGTGCGCCCATCATCCGTAGCATAGGTCGGACCAAACTGATAGAGATACTGGTCGGGCTCAGGGAGGTGCCCAGAAAAGCGAGTGGTGCTGCATGCTCTTGGTCACAGTCTGCCAGCCTCTATGCGGAAACCATCAAAGTGTCGTGATTCAATATCTGCTGCCATTCCCTCGCGAACTGATCGTATTGTACGACGTTGGGGATGACGCTAGGGTCCCCTTAGGCGGCGCAGATGACATATTTCAGGGGTAATAGAGAACGGCTATTGACGCCCATGAAAAACCGCAAATACCCCAACCCAACATCATAGTCTATAGAGAATTGCTATGTAGTAGTTCTGTACATAAGTCGATCAATATTTCTTACCTCCTCGTGATGTGGCGGAGGAGTGGTACGTAAATATGGCAAGTGTGTGTATTGCGAGTAACAGATGATGCAGCCAAATCGTTAATTCCAATGCACCCAATTCTACTGCTTCTGTTGCTGTTGCTGTTGTTGCTTTTGCGCCAATTGATTCGCCCTTTCCTGAATCATATTTTTCCAGCTCTGTTGGTCCTGTGCAGACAAGTCAGATTGCTCCAATAAGGCAGGGCACTGCGCTAAAGTCTCTCCAAGGTAAATAAACTCATCATAAGGATCCTGAAAGTAACCCACGCTATCTCTGATCACACACCAAGACACTCAGCGACCCACCAGAGCACTAGTCTTATTCTCTTCATCATCCACATCATCATCATAGTCACTATCATCCTCCTCATCGTCATCATCAGCCTCCCCAGCCAACACTGCCATCAGCTGAGCTCTCACCTCCTGCATCAGCTTAACCTGCCTAGACGCCGAGGCATCCTCATCATCACCAAGATCTTGGATGAGCCCTTCGTCATCTACAAAGGATTCACAGCATTTCCACCCAAGGCTTTTGCAAGGACTTGTAAACTATACGCCTTCGAAGATATGACGCCTTCTTTTGTTAGCCTAGCTGAGTAACCTATTACTGCAAAAGTACAATAACAATCTAAAACTATAGGCGTTTTGATTCTTAGAGGTTTCTAACACTCATGCCCAAGGCATAAGACTTTACGTCTAGCGACATCCCTGTGGGAATTCCACCTTACACGCTTACCCTCTCCAACCCAGTCGCTATCATCATCATCCTCATCATCATCACCACGATGGGCCGCCTTTTCCTTAGCCTTCAGCCGCATAGTGTGCACTTCCTTACACTGCTCGAAAGCTGTCTGCACTACTTTCTTACAAGTCCCCTATGGCAACAAGCCTTATGAACTTCAACACTCTAATGAACTTACCTGGACATGGGCCGGCATCTGCGCCATCGTTCGCAACAGACTCCCGAGTGCCAAAATCAGTGCCTTCTTCTCGTCGTGGGACCGCAAAAGACCCGCGCCCTGAACGTCGCAGTAAAGTTGAAATCATATACCGCGACCCAATGTGACAATACCTGATTGCTCTCCAAAAACTGAGCTCGTGAGTTTCCTCACTATATCATGAAAATACTAGAAGCGTCAAAAAGCAAAGATAATTTCCCAAAATTCCCTCAGAATTTCCATACACCGACACATGTGGTTGACCATGTTCATATATTTCCACTCTGCCCCTACCCACCTGAATGATAGCTGACAGAATATCCAATGTAAGGCTATGCTTGTCAAGCACGGCCACCAAAGCAGTAGGCGAATACCACAACATCATCACAAGGGCGTAGACGATCCATCTCAGCTCCTCCTGCTTTCCCTTACTCTTATCACAGGACTTCAATGAAGCCGCTAGGAGGCCCACGTAACTGACATATGAAGCCGTCTTCCCTCCATAACGCTTCCACCTCCCCTACGGTTCAAGCCACTCATCAGCCTGACCAGCCTTGCAGTTTTCAAACACGAGAGCGGCAATCTTGGCTGCTTGAGCGGCCGCAAAGTCATCCTGCATCTCCATACCCTTCTTGACCTGAACATAAAAAACCCATCGCTACTCCGACCCCAGAGAGACAACTCACAATAGCAAAGAGCAATTCCGTGTAGCGCATCCCCGTAGGGCTAGCCCCAGTAAGCCAAGTCTGGGTCCCCCGAGATAGGTAGTTGTCCAAAGGACCAAGCATGTTCTCGAGATAGTCGGCCGCCCAGCCCTAAAACGCATCTCTCTGAAATACCAAACCCTTTGAGGTAAATACCTCCGATAGAGGACCACTGAGCCCATGACCTGGCAAGCTACCGCCACAAACAGCTTGGTGAATCAAACAGTAGTATCTACATACATGGACTACAATAGACATCTAGTTCTCGATACTAGTATTACAACAACAACAACGAATACTACTACTACTACCTCCACAAGGACTCCGGTAAGGGCTGAGGGGCGGTGAAAGTGACGCCAGTAAGGATCTCAAGCCCATCCTCAAAATAATCAATGCCATCCGGAGTGAACAGAGCATCCAACAGAGCACCTGATATTCACAGAGATATTCATCCAACCACTGAAAGACCCTCACGCTTACAGACCGACTGCTCGCATTGGCCCAAAGCAGCAGGGTTCTTGAAAACGGAATCCATGAGAGACAATATAGTCTGTATCGTACCCATAGCGGCCTGAAGAGCACCAATATCAGCCAGACATAGCTCAGAGGATCCTACTACCATTGCCGTTTCATCATCAGTCTCCTCAGCCTTCATTTGCCGCAAGAAGGCAGGAACAAGATGGTTTACAGCTTGGGAAGCATATCTGAGCAAAAGCCTAGTTCCCACTAAGTAAGCTTAGTATATCAACAAAAGAATATATGCACATGGTCAACTACGCTACGTGTTGTAGATGACGAACTCAGAAATATCCGAAAATTCTTTCCCATAACCCAGTCGCTACAGAGCTTTGCCGTAGTGATGAAACTCACGATCATAGCTCAACACAGATTCCCCCACCGCCTTACGGTCCCACCGCATCTGAGAACTCAGTAGCCATAGAGTCCAGAGTCGACGCTAAGGCCTCGCTATCAACCTCCTGTGTGAGACGAAGCAGCCTGTCTATCACTTCAGGCACCTACACCATGCAAAGCGATATCAGTCCTTCACCACAGGCTGACAAGCGACTTACCGTTTGGGCAACTACTGACCTCATAGCCCCTGGACAGTTGTTGAAGAAAGGCTTGATGGAGCCGCCTGCCTGAACCCTCACCTGCATGAAAACGGTATACTGAGCCAGCTTTCATCGGATTCCCATACGCTATACACACATATACAAACTTAGAGCTTCCTGTCCATCTATACATCTAACCGCCTTATATTCGAAAATGCAACTCATCGAGATTCCGCGTAGTCCCAAGATGCTCTCACGAGCTTGATCGACATATTCAGAGCTACGAGGAGGAACACCAAGGACCATATGAATCAACGGTAGCAACGTACTCTCACTGTCTCTACTATACCCTCTCACCGGCAACTCCGTGTCGCTCAAGCAGGTCTTGACAGCCACAAAGGCAGCACCAAAGACATCTTCGCTGAACTCAATATTCTCACTGATGAACGCCTCAAAGGTCGAACACGCCCTCAAACGTAGGAAGGCACATTGGGATTTGAAATCAGGCAGGACCACATTGACCAACATCTGCTGTAGGGCGTTCACATCAGGCAGTTGATTTTCAACTGCTGAAGGCTTCTTATACTTCTTGCCCTTCTTAGACCTCTTCGACTGACCTACTTCCCACCCATACCCCCTCCCACATAAAACTCAGCTGAACTCACCAGATTTTTCCACAGCAGCCATAGCCAACTGCTCCGCTATATTCTCGAGGGCGTTCAAGGCTCCATCTTTCCTAATCACAACCACAAGGTGACATCAAAGTTACCCCTAGCCCTTCAACTACTTGCAGCAAGCTGCCACGTCTGCCGTGTCTCCCATCCTACTGTAAGCCTCCAGGTCCATAGAGATCGACGCCATTATGATGCTCAGACTGTCGCGGCCACGATAGCTGACGAACGCCTACAGAAAAGCATCATCGAAGAGTAAAAAGACAGGGCGAGGATGAACACCTACACGTAAGAGGTCACCAGCGGCGCTCCGAGGGTCCGAGAATATGGTCTCGCACGCTCCTTGGCGGCGAATGAACTGCACAGGGAAACAATGAATGGCACACAGCATAACGGTAGGTAGTAAGTCACCTCATCAGGATCCGCTTCCCACAGCTGCTGATCCTCTTGGGAGAAGGACAAGATGGGCAGGACCACATCGTGAACCAGGAACCTGTATATGAGCTCATCCACTCTACTCTACTATATCATCATCATTGCAACATACTGGAGATGAGGCTTTATGACCTTATAGGTAATAGCATGCTGCGTGGCCTCTGCGATAAAACCAAAGACTTGATACACTACCTACTACTACTATCATCACACTACTCACACCACGTGGGACTCACCTGGTCACTAACGAAGGCTCCCTGAGTAGCCCTCTTCTGGAGCAGCTCGATCATCTGCTGCGTCATGCCCGGACCAAAGGTGTCCAACCACCACTGCGCAAAGTTGGTCATCACCACGGCTACGTTCTGGCCCGTCTCATGGGCCGCGACCTAGCCAGCAAGGCTAAGTTACTGCTACACAGACCTTCCTACCAGGCGAGGATTGCCAAAACGACCAATGAAACGGTGGATGTTCCTCATAGTCCACTTCTGAAGCTGAAACAGGACTAGTAGAGGGGAGAAAAACGTCACGCGCCACAAAATTCACCTTAGCGAGAGGGATCTGTTGCCTTTGATCATGGTCCGCAGGCAGCTTATTCGCAGGGACGGACAACCTCGTTGAACACTTGAGGAACAATTCCATCCATCTACCACCTACACGCAAGCCCTCGCAGGTTCGATCCCCGCACCCTCCCTTTTTACATGAAGCATGGTCCGTAATCAGACTCTCATGTAGCGATGTTTGAATACACGAGTGGAATGTCTTGGCAACCACTCGGAGCATGTCGATCTACACAGCCAGGAAAATTCAGCCCAGGGCAACTCCAAATTTGTTATTACGGCCTGAGTGCCCATAGCCTCTGCACTTGGGTAGAGCTTCTCCCCGAGCTCCAGCAGCTGTGGGAGGGCCTGTACGATCTGCGAATAGCGATATACTCTGAGTATATGAAGACTACCAGTACCACTGAGTCTAAACTCTCACGCCCTGGACGACCCCGAGCCTTCATCTCAAATTCTCGAGCAATCTTCCTCAGCACTAGTAGGCCCACCATAACCTACCTCACGCCATACCGAGGACATAACAACATGCATCCTACCTTGTTGGGGTCCTCAGTCGCAGCAATAAGGCTAAGCGCTTGAGGAAGAAGGTCGGGCCAACACGCCGGATACCTGGAAAAATAGCCGATACCGTCAATGCTGTGCCGTACGGCTCACTCTCGATGAATGCATTCACGGACACACTCAATAGCCAAGTTACGTAGTTTGGCATCCCCTTTGGCATGGACGGCAATATCAACGATATTACTCAACACAAAGGCTTTATCGGCATCACACAGTTCGTAGCCAGACGGCCCTGGCTCGGTTATCTGCTGGACCTGCCAGAACGTATACTGTGATCGATAGTGGTGAAGACTGGAAAACGGGCGCATCTACACACACTGGAAGATCGCTATTGCTCTATATAAAGCTCGGTGATCCAAAAACAATACGAATCGATGAAGTCGAGGAGATGCTCATTACACTGCCATCGTATTGGACTCTACGAGACCAGAAGTTCTTGATACCGTTCTTCACTTGAATAGCTGCTGATTGGCGAATGACCGACTCGACCTGACGAGCAGCATTATGACCAACAGCCGATTCTCTCACTACTACCTGGTCTTCAATCCAGACACGGCAGAGGGCCTGCATGAAGCCCTGCTGCCTCTGGGCAGCCGTGATGAAGTTCTCCGCCTCTCGACGTTGATTGGCGTCGGGGGAGAAGGAACCAGTGAGAGCCTTGAAGAGGTTATCTGGCGAGATGTCGGCCATTTACTGACCACAGCGACGTGCCGTAAAAAACGTTCAAGCCTGGAGAACTCAGGAAGATTCTCGTTGGTATGACTCCAGCAGACATCACTCTGTATTCACCCAAGGCGTAGAGCACTCTTGGGCTATTCCAGGCACGAGGGTCACTCAGTGGTCAAACGCGGTTGCTTGCAGTTGGGGAAGACTACTGATACGAATACGAACTGACGTACATATGTGTTAGTTAAGTAGCTTCATGTGGCTGGACCTCGGCATCCAGTCATGCTACGCCTCGCCACTAACACGACAGCGTCACTCGCCACGAAATTTAACCGATTCAAGGACGTAGGCTAGTGAAGATTCCCTGATCGCCCTTACTGAGGAACATCACCAAATAACCTACGAAGCCATCATCCACAATGACGATGATTTCGAAGGTAAATAGCTTCGCTAGAAACGCATTACGCTACTCATAGAAACGTCCTTATGGTAGCACTAGGACCTACAAGTGTGCCCAACTGGCAGACATCGTTGGCATTCACTACAGTGCTTCAACTCAGGCTTAGTACACTTCTTGCAAGCCAGGCAGTGAGACCAAGGCTTATTACCGTGTATGGTCGTACAGGCCCCACATTTATCACAGTGAGCATTAGCCTTGTGAACCCATCGCCCATCACACTTCTCACAGACTCTATACGATTCAGTGGGTAAATCAGTGAGCTCATGGAAGCGAGTAAAGAGCCTAACCGGACTCTTATCAGCCTTGTACGTCTTATGGTTGGCGTAGTCGACTCGGTAATCATTCATAACCAGCTCGGGGGACTCCTTAGAGCCCATCAATGCTTCCCGTGAGAAGTATGGGAAAGCAAACACAACATCAACATTGGCGAACGCATCTGAGCCAATGAGCACTTCTCTAACACACTTCCATATAGCTGGAATCAACTCAGGCTGGAACGGAGGATCAACTACCACCACATCGACGGGCCCCTTCGCAAGCCAACCGTCGAATCGTTCCCTGCCCTCAGAGTCGAAGAAAAAGCCATTGATCATGTTGAACCGAGCTCCCGAGTCTGCGGCCTTCTTGACCACTACTGGATCCATATCTAGTAGGAACGAGTCCAGATCGCCTTGAAGGCGTTGGTGAATCACTGGGGTGCCCAGACAGAGGACTCGGTGGTAGTCATGCTTGGCAGTGTATTCTCGTATCACACCGACTGCCTCCTCAGAGAAGAAGTACTGTGCATTAGCCTTGTTGTCAGTTTTCTTATACTCCCGACCAGGCTCATCACCACGTCTGGGTCGCTTTATCGAGTGGTGGTCGCCAGCGTGTCGTTTCTCGTGCTCATCTACCCACACGAACAACGGGCATATTTTGCGGTCGCGTATAGCACTGCATGCATAGAAGTCTCTAGAGGATACGACGTGTCCATCGACATCTTTGGTCACTCGTCGAAACCTGAGTGATACCAATAGCAGTGGCCACGAATTGTGAAGGATCCCCACCTCATAGCAGGCCCATGCTCACACTGGGGCCTCGCGATCCCGCTGGCCTGCTGGTCCTCATCGAGGATCAGCTTGTTGATAGTCCGACGCTCTGTATGGGAGAACCCACCGGCCATGGGAGGAAATGTGAACTGATGATGGCCACGCTTGCTTGACACAGCCCATTGTACATGTCCGACTTTCACGACAAGTGTCAGTAGTGTAGACTCCCAGGTTCATCACAGAGAGTGACATATTAGAAGTGCCTCGTAGTGGATTCAAGTTCGGCCAGTGAAGCCATCGAAGTAGAAAGTACTGCATGAGGACTGCCTATTTTGACATCCTTGGTGAGGTTTCCGATCTTCATCCTGTGAACATGTTCGGGACACACTGTGCAATAACGATCTGATCAGCACAAGGAATTCTTCGTAAACACTGAACTAGGCACGTCCGACGTAGTAAGTTCTGCGAATCTTCATATTAGTGTATGAAAAGGCATGAAACTGAACAACTCAACAAGTGACGCAAGGACGGGCGGGCGAAGTGCACTGAAACGGAAGAAGATACAGAAACCTTGTAAGAAAGGCGAACTTACAATTGTACATGCGTTAAAAATCGACAATTGTTCGCATAGGGTATTAATCAACTTACCATTGGAGGATTCTGCCGCTGTGGAGCCGATCTATACTGTGTGACCATCTACCTCTATGCTTCGTGTTGCTCATGCTACGATCGTCAAGTTTCTTAGTACAGGTGTCATTCAGTTGCCTACTTCCCATACATGGCTGACATTACTCCCGAGTCGCTAGGCACCGCCCTAAGGGCCGTGCCTTGCGCTCACTTCATCAATGGCGACTTCCTAGGACCGTCTCCAAGTGAATCGGTGAGGAAGCTGGACATAATCAACTCTGCCACTGAACGCCCCATCGCCGAGTCCCTGTGCGCTGGAAGGGTATTGTTCATCTTGCCTATAGACATTCTGTATCCTCTCTCGTTAGGCCGATGTGGACCTCGCAGTAGCTGCTGCCCGCAAGTCCTTCGACGACGGGGTATGGTCCAAGCGTTTAGGCTCTGATCGCGCCGTTGTGATGAAGCGCATTGCAGAGGGAATTAAAGCACGGTGAAAACTGACGTAGTGTCGCAAGATCACCGGAGTCTCCTTTTCCAGGCGGGAGTTCTTGCAAGAATTGAGACCGTCAACACTGGGAAGCCATTGAAGAGACCGAGTGGGACATTGATGACGTCGCGGGCTCCTTTGATACTTCGGAGGTGGTCTTCGTCCTTTCCCCTGCATCATGCAGTTGAAGGTCTTAGATAAGGCCATCGAGTTGGATAAGAAGCAGGGCAGTTTGGTCGACTTGGGTATGGAAGAGTTTGAGGGACGTCTTTACTATGAGAGCTGTGGAGTGGTAGCGGCTATAGTGCCGTGGAACTACCCCCTATTGATGGCCACGTGGAAGGTACGCCTCAGAGCTTTCAGCCAGAGTCTGACGTGAGCCATCACAGGTGGCGCCGGCCTTGGCTGCAGGGTGCTCGGTTGTTCTCAAGCCGAGTGAGCTCACTCCTATCACTGCTCTGGAACTGGCACTTATCTGCAAGGACGCTGGCCTACCCGATGGCGTACTGGGGCATTGGGGTACACTCGAGGTCTACGTTAGTAGCACTTTACATCGTTTTTATATTCGATATCATTGTGTGGGAATAACAGTAGGCTGTCTATGTTCAGTGAGGGTATTTATTCTCTATTGAGGTACTTAACGTTATTACTGGCGATGGCACTACGGGTAGCCTAATGACGTCTCATCCCGACGTGGACAAGGTCACCTTCACTGGTTCTGAAGCTACTGGAAAGCTCGTTATGGGTAAGGCTTTTCGTAGGGATGAAATGTGTCATACATATGTCCATTGGTATGCTCAGGATCTTGCACTCCGCATATTCACAACGTTGGTCTTGAACTGGGTGGCAAGTCGCCTTTTATTGTATTCGAGGACTCGGACATGGACCAGGCCGTTGAATGGGTCATGTTTGGCTGCTTCTGGACCAACGGTCAGATTTGCAGCGCTACTAGCAGGCTGCTGGTAATATCGCGTGAAATGACTACTATTGCATATTGGAGGTAATCAGATTCACAACAGCATTAAGGAGAAGTTCTTGGCTCGGCTAGAAAAGGAGATCAGGAAGGTGCCGCTTTGTTCGCCTATGGAGCTTTTGGAAGGCGGACTAGAAAAAACTAGTGGCAGGCTTGGACCGATGATATCTAAAAAGCAATTTGAAAAGGTTACTGGTAAGACGACTCTCTAGGGGAAGTTTGTGGAAAAGTTGATAATAGGTATGATTGATCGTGCTAAGGCTAGCGAAGCGAGGCTCCTATGTGGCGGCAATTCACGGAGACCTGGATACTATGTGGAGCCGACAGTATTCGTTGATGTCACGACTGATTCAGAGGTAGTAGTATCAACGATAACTTTCGATCAGTTGTGACATTGACCTTGAATCGAGACGAGCTGTACAATCCAGTATTAATGCTTTGGACATCTGATATAGCCCACTGTGTATTATTATAAAACTGTTGATTCAGTTAGATTCCAAGTTTACTGGCCTGGGAATGTGTCTCTTCGAAGGAATTTGAAATAGAAACTGCGAGCTGTGGCGGTCAGATATGGAGGGAAGAAGTGTTCGGACCAGTACTGTGTGTGAGGGGGTTCGATACTGAGGAGGAGGCTCTGAGTGAGGCTAACAACACTAGGTAGCAATAGGCTAGTTTGTAGGCTGTTGAAATACAGTGTGTAGGTTTGGCTTGGCAGCAGCGGTGATGAGTGGTGATCCGGCGAGGTGCGAGCGTGTTATGAGGAATTTCCGTTGTGGTATTGTATGGGTCAACTGCAGCCAGCCGTGCTTCACGCAACTTCCTTGGGGAGGGGTCAAGCACTCGGGTATAGGCAGGGATAACGGCGATGCTGGATTCTGGAGGTAACACGATGGTTACTACTAAGGTCACCGCGTGAAATGAACTTTTATCGGATTTTCGAAACAATCAGTGAGATTAGATTCATCCAACCCATTTTGCATCTGGAGTGGTGGTGGATTTTTGTTGGTCATTCTGTTTCCAGTTATCTGGAGCCCAAACAAGTGGTGAAATACGTTACGAAGAAGCCTTTTGGTTGGTACTCTCCCCGCTTCGAAGGGAGTAAGCTGTAGCTGCTGATCTATTTGGAATTTCTCAAATTGACTACTGTGTTTCTCATGCATTTTCGGTCGAGTTATGTAACACTAGAATAGCCTTCTGAGTAAAAAGGTTTGATTCTACGTATTCCGATGTCCGACTCAACTGGGCTTCCTCAGAGTGAGTGTCGATGCCCGTCTGCCATAACGCTCTATTTTTCTCACTACTTGAGCCTCCATCACGATAGCCTTACACAAGAGTCGTTGAATCTATCCACTGCATCTAGCTCGTATTCGTCCCTCCGAAATCTTCTACTGCAGGTAAGTGGCCTGGTGGCCTACCGTAATTGGATCAATTCGCTTAGGATGAGGATGAGGTTGTATCTTTAGGTGAAGCACTGCAACGGCAGAAACTGGGAGTCCTGAAAAGAGTCGATTGGAGTATGGGCGTTGTTCAGGTAAAGTATGGCGCTTGAACTGATGCAAAACTTCCAAATTCAGGGCATGTAGAGGAGGCCATAGTGGAGGAGCAGACTGAGTAGGGACGGTGACGAGGGGGCTTGGGAGGTCACAGCTGAACTCTTCCAACAATCTGCAGTTGTGCCGGATCACTCGACGGTAGCTACAGGGGACCCACCACAGCAAAAAGAAGAATTCCGGACGAAAAATGGCATGCATATCAATACTGTTAATGATAGGGGTAAATAACTATTCCGTGGCAACAGAGCTTCGTATGGTCCTTAGATAGTAATTGTGTGGATTTTGGTATTTTTCATTATCCCGTCTTGAGGCAGATACGCACCACTCAATTTCCTGCATCTCCCTGGGCTGTGTATTGAGTATACGAATGGAGACGAACACGAGGGGCTCTAGAATGTGTTCATGATACTCATTAGTCGCAGCCCATGTTTTTCTTCTGATTCTTCTTGCGCAGCACCCCTTCGACCAGGCGAGTAATAGCCAGTATAGAGGTATAGCTGTAGGCTCAGTCACTGTCTGAGCTCTGGTATGAACCGGTAGATAGTGTGTTACACGGCAGAGAGTTCGATAAGTAGGAAGGCCTCCCCCAGAGACCCCCAGCTGCCAGCAGTACAATAATTTATATCTTGATATCCCTAGCGGGATGTCGTCCAGATCTTCCTCATGTATTTCAACCATTTGCGAACACTGCGGTTTGATGCCAACAGTCGGGTCATATCATAGGGGTTGTCCAGGGCATCTTTACCCAG